GCATCTTACTGCAACAGGGAAAGAGGATAAACAGTGAAGATTTTAATTGGACTGAATCCTGGATTACTTGCAACTATGATTTCTTTGTTCTTCAGTTGAGTCATATGTTAAGTGGAATTTTCCCTCTAGCTATAAATTTCTCTTCACTACCACTTCCCCCACCCATCTCCCTAATGCCAACCCTCAAAACCACGAACATAATGAATGGGAAGAAATGAGATTTTTGCTTAATTCAGCCTGGAATTAACCAGAGAGTAATTAAAACAGACTTTTATAAAGAAAGGAAAGAAAAATGCACATTGAAAATGTTCATGTGAGACTCTTTCCAAGGATATAAAGCTATCAACAGCATATGGTTACACTTAATTAAAAGAAATAAAACTATTTATAAGAGCCATTCTCTCATTTATCCTTTCACCCTCTCTAACCCCAAACCCCTGTGATTATGCCTACCTCACCAAGGTTAGTAAAATGAGCTAGAGAAAAATTTTCCTGAACTAGTCAAACCCCCTTGCTCAGGTTGAGAAGTTCACCAAATTGTCAAAGACAATACCACTAATCGTGCCATTGTTTTTGTGTGCTAAACTATTGTTTATTCCAATTCTTGACCTAATTAAAATGGTGACTCTTTGCACTTCACCATTACATACTTTAAAGATAACAATGCTATGCTTTGATGAACAGATTACAGAATACGCTGGAAAAGCATAGGTATACTATACTCTAAAGGCCCATACAATATTATAAATTATGCACACATACATAAAGCATGAATTAACAGCAACGTACAAACAACTACTTAACTAGTTGCTTATGATTAGACATTTGTCTTTGTTAGAATTTTCTCAAAACATTAAGACTATTAGAGGCTTTGGGCAAAGTGAAAATAAAAATAAAATTATAAGAGAAAGTCTATAAATAAAACAAATAGGAATTTTAAATTATCACCTTTGAAGAAATCTGAAGGTTGAGGATGGGGAATGAGGGGTGGACTGTGTGTGTGTGTGAGGGGTGGAGTGTGTGTGTGTGTGTGTGCGTGCGCGCGCACATGTGCATACATACACCCATGAGAAACTTTGCCCATTTACTGTCCTATATATATAATTCAAGACTGTGATTTCTCTGCTTTTGACTCTAGGTCTTAGAGCATTCCTAGGGCACCTATAAGTTCTAGATATAAAATGAAGAAAAAGATTAAACAGAAGCAAAATGACCAACACAGTCACCACCACTTACAATTTTATAAATATTCCTTCTTATCCACTAGGAAGAAACCATATAAGTATAAAGGACTTAAAAGAATCATTCATTCTCAATCCTTTATTTTTCTGTACTGTTTTTTAAAAAAAATTAGACTGTACATATTCATATATTACTTCTGTGATTTTAAAATTATAAAAGGAATTTTTTAAACCACCTAAGTCCAAAATTGATTCCTACTTTGTAAGTCCTTAAGCCTCTTATCCTTACCCATCAGAGGGCAGACAAAACGAAACCACAATCACAGAAAACTAACCAAACTGATCACATGGACCACAACCTTGTCTAACTCAATGAAACTATGAGCCATGCCACGTAGGGCCACCCAAAACAGACAGATCACAGTAGAGACTTCTGACAAAACGTGGTCCACTGGAGAAGGGAATGGCAAAGCACTTTAGCATTCTTGCCTTAAGAACCCCATGAACAGTATGAAAAGGCAAAAAGATAGGACACTGAAAGATGAATTCCCCAGGTTGGTAGGTGACCAATGTGCTACTACTGGAGGAGAGTGGAGAAATAACTCCAGAAAGAATGAAGAAATGGAGCCAAAGCAAAAACAATGCCCAGTTGTGGATGTGACTGGTGATGGAAGTCAAATCCAATGTTGTAAAGAACAATATTGCATAGGAATCTGGGATATTAGGTCCATGAATCAAGGCAAATTAGAAGTGGTCAAATAGGAGGTGGCAAGAGTGAATATCGACATTTTAGAAAGCAGTGAACTAAAATGGACTGGAATGGGCAAATTTAACTCAGATGACAATTATATCTACTACTGTGGGCAAGAATCCCTTAGAAGAAATGGAGTAGCCCTCATAATCAACAAAAAAGTCCACAATATAGTACTTCTGTGCCTTCTCAAATATGACAGAATGATCTGTCTTTCCAAGGCAAACCATTCAGTATCACAGTAATCCAAGTCTATGCCCCAACCACTAACGCTGAAGAAGCTGAAGTTGAACAGTTCTATGAAGACCTACAAGACCTTCTAGAACTAACACCCAAAAAAGATTTCTTTTTCATCATAGGGGACTGGAATGCAAAACTAGGAAGTCGAGAGATACCTGGAGTAACAGGCAGTTGGGAGTACAAAGTGAATGAAGCAGAGCAAAGGCTAACAGAATTCTGCCAAGAGAACGCACTAGTCAGCAAACACCCTCTTCCAACAACACAAAACACAACTCTACACATGGACATCAACAGATGGTCAATACTGAAATCATATTGATCATGTTCTTTGCAGCTGAAGATGGAGAAGCTCTTATACAGTCAGCAAAAAGAAGACCGGGAGCTGACTGTGGCTCAGATCATGGATTTCTTATTGCCAAATTCAGACTTAAAGTGAAGAGAGTAGGGAAAACCACTAGACCATTTAGCTATGACCTAAATCAAATCCCTTACGATTACACAGTGGAAGTGACAAATAGATTCAAGGGATTAGATCTGTTAAAGAGTGACTGAAGAACTATGGATGGAGGTTCGTAACACTGTATGGGAAGCAGTGAGCAAGACCCATCCCCAAGAAGAAATGCAAAAAGGCAAAATGTTGTCTGAGGAGGCATTGCAAATAGCTGAGAAAAGAAGAGAAGCTAAAGGCAAAGGAGAAAAGGAAAGATCTACCCATCTGAATGCAGAGTTCCAAAGAATATCAAAGAGAAATAAGAAAGCCTTCCTCAGTGATCAATGCAAAGAAATAGAGGAAAACAATAAAATGAGAAGGACTAAAGATTTGTTCAAGAAAATCAGAGACACCAAAGGAACATTTCATGCAAAGATGAGCACAATAAAGGACAGAAATGGCATGGACCTAACAGAAGCCGAAGATATTAAGAAGAGGTGGCAAGAATACACAGAAGAAATCTATACAAAAAAGATCTTTATGACCCAGACAACCACGATGGTATGATCACTAACCTCAAGCCAGACATCCTGGAATGTGAAGTCAAGTGGGCCTTAGGAAGCATCACTACGAACAAAGCTAGTGGAGGTGATGAAATTTCAGTTGAGCTATTTCAAATCCGAACAGATGATGCTGTGAAAGTGCTGCACTCAATATGCCAACAAATTTGGAAAACTCAGCAGTGGCCACAGGACTGGAAAAGGTCAGTTTTCATTCCAATCCCAAAGAAAGGCAATGCCAAAGAAAGCTCAAACTACCACACAACTGCACTCATCTCACACGCTAGCAAAATAATGCTAGCATTACTTTCAAAATTTTCCAAGCCAGGCTTCAACAGTACATGAACCAAGAACTTCCAGATGTTAAAGCTGGATTTAGAAAAGGGAGAGGAACCAGAGATCAAATTGCCAACATCCATTGTATTATCAAAAAAGTGAGAGAGTTCCAGAAAAACATCTACTTCTGCTTTACTGAATACACCAAAGCCTTTGACTGTGTGGATCACAATAAACTGTGGAAAAGTCTTAAAAGAGATAGGAATACCAGACCACCTGTCTCCTGAGAAACCTGTATGCAGGTCAAGAGCCAACAGAAGCAGACATGGAACCACAATGGACTAGTTCGAAACTGGGAAAGAAGTACATCAAGGCTGTATACTGTCACCCTGCTTATTTAACATATATTCAGAGTACATCATGCAAAATGCCAGGCTGGATGAAGCACAAGCTGGAATCAAGATGGCAGTGAAAAATATCAATAACCTCAGATATGCAGATGATACCACCCTTATGACAGAAAGCAAAGAGGAATTAAAGAGCCTCTTGATGAAAGTGAAAGAGGGGAGTGAAAAAGCTTGCTTGAAACTCAACATTAAAAAAATGAAGAACTTGGCATCTGGTCCCATCCCTTTGTGGCAAATAGATGGGCAAACAATGGAAACAGTGACAGATTTTTATTTTCTCGGCTCCAATATCACTGCAGATGGTGACTGAAGCCATGAAATTAAAAGATGCTTGCCCCTTAGAAGAAAAGCGACAGCCAACCTAGAGAACATGTTAAAAAGAAGAGATATTACTTTGCCGACAGAGGCCCATATAGTCAAAGGTATGGTTTTTCCAGTAGTCATGTATGAATGTGAGAGTTGGACTATAAAGAAAAGTTGAGTGAGAAGACCTGATGCTTTTGAACTGTGGTGTTGGAGAAGACTCTGGAGAGTCTGTTGGACTGCAAGGAGATCCAACCAGTCCATCCTAAAGGCAATCAGTCCTGAATATTCATTGCAAGGACTGATGCTGAAGCTGAAACTCCAAAATTTTGGCCACCTGATGGGAAGAACTGACTCATAGGAAAAGACCCTAATACTGGGAAAGATTGAAGGTACGAGGAGAAGGGGACAACAGAGGATGAGATGGTTGGATGACATCACCGACTTGATGGACGCAAGTCTGAGCAAGCCCTGGGAGTTGGGTGATGGACAGGGAGGCCTGGCAAGCTGCAGTCCCTGGGGTCGCAAAGAGTCGGACACGACTGAGCAGCTGAACTGAACCTGTAAGTCCTCTTTTCAAAAGAAAGAAGAAAAGCTCCCCCAAATTACTATTTCACATCATTAGGACAAAATCAGAAACGCAGAAATCTAAAAGAATTAGTTGGTGCCAACATCAGTTTGTGCTCTCATGAATATCAAGTAAAAATGTGTATTATTTCCACTCATGTCAATACAGGTTGAGACATTTTATAACTTCCTACAGGAAGTCCTATTTCATTTCTCTCTTACAATGAAACAGCTTCAAAAATAACAAAACGATCCACATTTCTTTGTAACACTGCAATAATTTACCTGAGTTGCAGCAACAGCAGAGGGTGCAGATGACCCAGCTGATGGGGAGAGAGCGCCCACTTGCTGTAAATGCCCAGAAGGTTGCTGAGGTAAATGAGAACTGGAGACAGGAGTACTCGATCCTGAGCCAGATACTACATTTGGAAATGATACTGCTACATCATTGCTGTTATAAATACCTAAAAAGGAAAAAAAGGTCTTATTTAAATATTTTATAACTTAGCAGTCGAATCTGTCACAGACACGCAGTATTAATCAATACGTTAGAGTACCCATATTTCCTCCTGATCCTTCCGACAATGATAAATCTTATTGGTTTATAAAAAAAAAAAATTAATAAAAACTGACTTTTCATAAAGCACTTGTTTTAAAGACATTTTTTTACACATCAATGATGGTTTGTTAAGAGACAGAGATCACCTCAGGAGGTGCTTTGTAAAAATAATAATAAGAATTTTAGCAATTCCTAAAAGAAATGACATGTTTGTTAAACTGCAAAATGAAGAAATTAGAAACTATACAAAAATCACTTGGTAAACCTTTCAAAAATGCAGATAGTTAGGACCCAGAACTCATGAATTGAGAAGGTCTGAAATGGCAGGAGACTCTTTCTTAGGAAGAACATCCAGAGTACAGTGCAGAAAATAAAATGGAACAAGAGCAGACATTCCAAGAACAGTAAAATGCCTGATGCCACTGGTGGATAACCACTCAGTGAAAATAAAGAGTACCAGTGGATTCTGTAGACATTTGAGACGTAAATAAACAGGACTTTATGACTGACTGGATGGAATATCTAAGTAGGAGTCAGGGTGGCCAGGGACGTGGAATACTAGGTGTTGGATGCATTCACTTCAGAGAACACAGGAAAAGACTATAAAGACCTGAAAGTATTTTCAGTGGCACCACAGGGGTAAAAGCCAGAAAGAGAGCACAGAAGCAATCCAGTCTAGAAAAGTGGATGGGAAGAGGAGAGAGAGAGAAAATGCGCAAAAGTTAAGAGGAAACAAAGAGTTACTTTAAAAAGTGCTCTGTGGGTTTCTTTTTAACAGATGGGAGTTCATGTTCTTATACTGATGACCGGAGTCCAAAGAGAGGCTCCGATAAAGGCTGAGAGACAGGAATCTCTACAAACCAGTGGGCTCTCAATCAGGGGTGATTTTGCTCCACAGGAGACTTGACAATGTCTGGAGACATTTTTGGTTGTCAAAACCAGGAGGCGCTACTGGCATCTGGTAGGTGTGTACACACAGAATGGTGTGTGCGGGCTCAGTCATTCAGTCCTGTCACGACTCTTTGCAACTGCATGGACTGTAAGCCCACCAGGCTCCTCTGTCCATGGCTTTTTTCAGGCAAGAATACTGGAGAAGGTAGGCATTTCCTCCTCTAGGGGTAGTTGCCAGGGGATGCTGCTAAACATCTCACAATGAACTAGACAGCTCCTCACAACTAAGAATTATCTGGCCCCTGGAGTCAACAGCAAAAGAAGCTGAGAAATCTTGTAATAAACCAGGGCTCCTAGGAGGCTGGGAGGGAATAAGACCCTAAGAACCTAACACAGAGGAGAAGGCAGGGAAAAAAAGAATCTCAGCAGGCTGTATTAAAAACAAAAAACAAAACAGTGCGAAAACACAGCCCTTGAAGGCAATAATTAGTTATCTATAATGACAGTACAACTTACTTTGTTTCTAAAGAATATAAATACTATTAATTCATAATATATAAAAGTACCTATAATCTTCAAACAAGGGGAATAAAAAAATTGGGACATTTTTAAAGGTCTTACAACTATAATTGAGGCTCCTAAGATCCTTTTTATATCTACTATTTTTCCATAAAAGAAAAAAAAGAAGATAATTTATTCACTCAACAAACGCATTCATTTCCACAAACATCTGAGAGCTCACTGTTTACCAGACGTTATTCTAAGCCCTAGAGATACAAAGCCATTCAAGATATATGGTCTCTGCCTTCAAAAAGCTTAGCAGAAAAAAGAGACAATTACAAAAGACTGTGAAGAGCACTATGATAGAGACATCCTCTGGAGGCTGGGAGTGCATAAAGAGGGGTATCTGACTCAGACCTGGAGGGAGAGACTGTGGGTGAGAACAGTACCTTTAAAGCTCATTCCTAAGGAAGCTTCAGGACAGAGGAGAAGGGCAGTCTGAGGAAGAAACATGCCACAGAGAGCCGAGTAGGTTCCAAGAGCTTATATGTGCCACTCATGCAGCTTAAGCAGAAATGAGGCTAAAAAATAAGCAGGCATCAAGAACAGTAAAAATTAATGTGTTAAAAATTTAGAGACAATAGGAAGCCACTGAAGGACTGTAAGCAGAAGTTTGGTGTGATCAGATCTGTGTTTCAACAAAACATAAACCATGGGCACAAAGCTGAGAACAGCCTGGGAAAGAGGTTTAAATAGAGATTGAGAAAGCTCTTAAGGGCTGCTACAGTAATACTGATGAGCAAAAATATTATTTTTTAAAAAAACTTAAAGCAACAGCAGCAAAGAGCCATTACAAAAATAACATTCACAGGACTGGAAACTAATTAGATTTGAAGAATAAAAAAAAAGAGGAGAGAGTCAAGAATGACTCTTAAGCACCAGTAAGTGGGTGTGAGAGTGGTAAATACCATTCACTGAAGCAGGAACAGCAACTGAGAGCACCCAGCACTTGTTACTACTATAGGTCACTGTGCTAGCACAACAGACCAATGAAGTACTATTACTCCCATTTTACATATGAGCAAACAAGTTTAAGGAACTGAACTAACCCGTTTAGTGACCTAGTCAATGGCGGAACTAAGAGTCAAACTCATACAGCCATCAGACTTTACAACTGAAACCACTTTCAAAGTACATGTTTGAGGTTCAGGTTGAACATCACAGTCTTTGAGATGCCTGTGGGACACAAAACTCCTAGATGGTCTAGAAGAGAATGTGGGGAGTCTGAAGCTTAGCAGAAAAATCAGGTCTAGAGACACAAGGATGTCAGAAGGATGTCAGGTCTAGAGATACAGGAATCAGAAGGATGACAAAGATAGAATAAGTAAACGTGAAAACTCAAAAAGGCTTTCTTTTGGCCTGCTAACTATAGTTCATATTTAGACACATAGAAACTTCACATTAAAAAACCTAGATTTCTATTATCTTCTGAAAAACCTGAAGTTCTGTTCACACTGTTATTGTATTCTGAAATAGCAACAAGCCACTGGAGCTCTGGATGGGGCACTGATTCTTTAATCCACCTGAGCCTCTCCATTCATTATTCATCACCTTTTCCTCACTCATTTATGTCATTTACCTGACTCCGTTAAGTAACTGGTAACAACAACCTGTGATATGCAAACTGGTCAAAGGGAAGGAATGGAAAAATGAGATCACCCAGAGAAGTTCTCAGTGTGATCAAGAAAACAAGATTAAAGACAGGACCCTAGGGAACGTTACCATTTAAAGGGTCATTTTAACATCCAACAAATATTGAGGTACTTATTATTTAAAAAGGCACTGAAGACAGCAAAGAGAACAAAGGAATTCTTCCTTTCAAGAACTCAGTCTCACAGCAGGGCTAGTAAGTGCTCATCAGCCACTAGATACAGGAGGGAAACACTCAGTACCAGAAGAAGGTCACATCAGATGAAGAAGTTCAGAGGAACCGAGTGGGGTAGAAGAGTTCCAAAGAGAAGTACTTGAACTCAAAATTTAAGTTTTAGGGTAAAAATACCTTAAAAGGTAGAGTGCTTTTTTTTTTTTGCCATCTTGTGGAGCATCCGTGCTGCAGTGCTTTTAATTTAAAGAAGCAGGGGTATTTACATTAAAAAAAACACATGTAGTTTTAAACAGCACATATAAAACAAAATGGGGCTTCTCAGGTGGTGTGAGTGGTAAAGAACCCTCCTACCAATGCAGGAAACCTAAGAGATGCAGCCTCGATCCCTGGGTTGGGAAGATCCCCTGAAGAAGGAAGTATCAGCCCACCCGGGTATTCTTGGCTGGAGAATCCCATGGAGAGTACTTTTTTTAAATATCAAAAATCATATTATACATGGAATCTCCAGTTACCAAATCTAAAAGACAAAAGTGAGCTGGAGGCAGAAGGCTGAAATCACAAGAGCACAAGTTTTCGCCTGAGACAAAAGTATGGGCTCTCCCAACCATGTGATCTCAACTTTCTGAGCCTCCATAGTGTTCTTTTCTATAAAACCAAGATCATAGCTACCTTAAAGGTTTTTTTTGAGAATATCCATGTAAAGTCTCTAACAATGCCCAAAACACAGTTAACTTTAAGTCAGGAAAGTATTGTATTTTAATTGTCAAGTCCTCTAAAGTCCCTGTTGTTATTGCTTAGTTGCATTTGACTCTTAAAATTCCTTGGATTGTAGCCCACCAAGCTCCTCCATGGGCTTTCCCAAGCCAGAATCCTGGAATGGGTTGCCATTTCCTTCTCCAGGGGATCTTCCTATCCCAGGGATTGAAACCATGCCTCTTGCATTGGCAGGCAGATTCTTTACCACTGAGCCACCATGGAAGCCCCAGATGTCCCCACTACACTTTGAAAACTGCAAATACCATTATCACTGCAATGATATATCATCAAAGTATAATACCAAAAAGCAAAACTGTGGTGTTTGAGGACCTTCAATCTCTAAACTTAAGTCTGTTTTTATACTGCAGTAGTATGTACTTGGAGAAGGCAATGGCACCCCCCTCCAGTACTCTTGCCTGGAGAATCCCATGGACAGAGGAGCCTGGTAGGCTGCAGTCCATGGGGTCGCACAGAGTCATGGGGTCGCACAGAGTCAGACACAAGTGAAGCGACTTAGCGGCAGCAGCATGTACTTAAATGGGAAACTGCACAGCTAAACACACAGCAATCACACTTTGAAACTAGTGCTCAGGTTACTGCAATAAAATGGAACAAATCAAAATTTTCCTTTCTTATCAAATCAGGAAAGCATGGAATTCTGAATCGTTGTTTGAAAATGAAGCTCACTTGCTCACCTCAACTCTCTCATACATCAGGTATTATGTATGGTTCAACATATTCACTAAGACCTCTAGATCTTTTTTCAGAAAGCAAATGATCTTCTTTAGATTGTTCTGTACTTGTTTTCTGTTTAACGTCACTCTATTTCCATCTTATACAAGCTATATGCTATTTTAATCCAAATCAAGGTG